ATATCCTCATAGCACCTGGGTTGGTTCAGAAATAAAAGAATAAGTATTCATTTGGATTTTCGTTTAAGATCAGTGCGACGTGGAGAAGTCAGTTTTACATATCTTATCTGTTATCTTACCATTTACTTTCTTTGTGCTGGTGAGCTACCAGATGAATGATATTGAATTGTTGGTTTTCCTGTTTAACAGGAGGCTGTGGCGCCTGCGTTGTCCTACTGTCTAAGTATGATCCACTGCTTGACCAGGTGGAGGATTTTACTGTGAGTTCGTGCCTCACACTTCTTTGCAGTGTTAATGGATGTTCAATCACAACAGCTGAGGGAGTTGGAAATAGCAAGGATGGTTTCCACCCTATTCAGGAAAGGTTCGCTGGTTTCCATGCTTCTCAATGTGGCTTTTGTACCCCAGGAATGTGTGTTTCTTTCTTTTCAGCTCTTGTCAATGCTGATAAGACCAACGGGCCAGAACCCCGTCCTGGATTCTCCAAGCTGACAGTTTCTGAAGCAGAAAAGGCCATTGCAGGAAATCTTTGTCGCTGTACTGGTTACCGCCCTATTGTTGATGCTTGTAAAAGTTTTGCAACTGATGTTGATATGGAGGACTTGGGGCTTAATTCCTTTTGGAAAAAGGGAGAAAGTGATGAAGTAAAGCTGAGCAGATTACCTTCATACAATCATTGTAATGCAAGTTCTAAGTTCCCTGAGTTTCTCAAGAACGAAATCAAGGCAGGTGGCGATCTGTTTTCCGAAGGACATGGTTGGTATAGTCCTACTAGTATTGAGCAGCTTCAAAGCTTATTAGAAATGGATGACGACAATAATGGAACCACAATGAATATTGTTGTTGGTAACACAGGAACGGGTTATTACAAGGAATTACAATGCAATGAAAGATACATTGATTTGAAATATATTCCTGAGGTCTCAATCATTAGGAAAGACCAAACAGGGATTGAAATTGGAGCATCTGTGACAATTTCTAGAGCTATCAAAGCACTAAGGGAAGAAAATGAATATGAATTTCGCCAAGGTAAAATGGTGTTTAAAAGAATTGCTGACCATATGGAAAAGATTGCTACAGCTTTCATAAGGAATTCAGGTAGTATAGGAGGGAATTTGATAATGGCCCAGAGGAAACAATTCCCATCAGATATTGCTACAATACTACTTTCTGTGGGTACATTGGTGAATATAATGACTGGTCAGAAAATTGAAAAGCTTACATTGGAGGAGCTCCTGGAGATGCCCCCTTTGCATTCCAAAAGTGTTCTTTTAAGTATTAAAATCCCTTGCTGGGAGTCTAGGAATAAGGATATTTCTTCTGAAAATGATACTAAGTTGCTATTTGAAACTTATCGGGCTTCACCACGTCCTTTGGGAAATGCACTTCCCTATTTGAATGCGGCCTTTTTGGCTGAGATTTCTCTTTGTAATAATTCTACTGGAGTCATGCTAAAATACTGTCAGCTGGCATTTGGTGCTTATGGGACCAAACACTCAATTAAAGCAAGAAAAGTTGAGGAATTCTTAACTGGAAAAGTTCTAAGTGTAGGCGTTCTGTATGATGCTATTAAATTACTTGGCACTATTATAACACATGATGATGGCATCTCAAGTCCTGCTTACAGGTCAAGCTTGGCTGTTGGCTTTCTTTTCGAGTTCCTAAGCCCCTTAATTGACACCCCTGCAGAAATTTCAGGTGGCTGGCTCAATGGATACGATAATGGTCAGTTTGATGAAATCAAACTCCCAACATTGATGTCATCGGCAAAGCAAGTGATTCAGTCAAGTAAAGAGTATCATCCAGTTGGAGAGCCAATTCCAAAAACTGGTGCTGCCATTCAAGCTTCTGGTTAGTCATATCTTACAGAAAACTCTACTACTTCACCCTTATAGTTCACAAAAAGAATTTTAGCTTGTTGATGGTTATCTATGTTTCATAATTTCATGAGTCAATAATTAATTGGTTTGGAACACGAAGAACAGGTGCTAAGATCATCTCTTTTTCTACATATCTGTGCACCATTGAATAGGGCTAGCACTAATGCAAGTGCCATTAGGGGGCTTCTTCGCTAGAAAAACTAGACTATTTGAGATAAGACCATTTTATTAAGCGTTTAAAGTGTTTTTTGATGGATTTAGTATTAAAGTTAAACATGGACGCATCTGTAATTAAGATTAATTGTTCCTCTTAAACTTGTGTACAATAGTGCATTAAATGGAAAAACATTTGTCACCATTGCTTCGGATGTCATCGGTAAATCTTCCTTTATTTATTGCTTTATTCTATATGCAATCAATTCTCATTCAGCTAATTATGCAGGTGAGGCTGTTTACGTGGACGATATTCCATCTCCAACCAATTGCCTCCATGGAGCTTTCATTTATAGCACAGAGCCTCTAGCACGGGTAAAGGGCATAAAATTTAATCCTGGATGGTCACCAGATGGAGTCGCTGCACTTATTACTGTCAAAGACATTCCTGGGGAGAATGTAGGCTTGGCGACCATATTTGGTAATGAGCCTTTATATGCAGATGAGGTTGCTCAGTGCGCTGGAGATCGAATTGCCTTTGTGGTAATTCTATGGTTTCATTATCTGCCTTTTCTTTTGTTTGCAGTAATTGTTATTAATATCGACATAGTCCAATGCTAAAAAGGTGTCCATTAGTATTTTGAGAACTTGATTATGGAAATGACTCTTTCAGGTTGCGGATACACAAAAACATGCAGACTTGGCCGCAAACCTTGCAGTTATTGATTATGACAAAGAGAATCTAGAACCACCAATATTATCTGTAGAAGAAGCTGTTGAAAGATGCAGCTTTTTTGAGGTTCCTTCTTTCCTTTGCCCCGAACAGGTTGGTGATTTCTCAAAAGGAATGGCTGAAGCTGATCATCAAATTCTCTCTGCTAAGGTAATTTCCATACTTTCAAGAGCCGTTTACTATATTTCATCATGGATTGCTAATGTATCTTTTGAATTGTTACATCTAGCTCAAACTGGGGTCACAATACTATTTTTATATGGAGACACAAACAGCCCTTGCTGTGCCAGATGAAGACAACTGCATTGTAGTGTACACTTCTAATCAAAGTCCTGAGTTCACACATGATACAATAGCTAAATGCCTTGGCATTCCCGGACATAATGTTCGAGTGATTATGAGAAGGGTTGGTGGAGGCTTCGGCGGCAAGGCCATAAAATCAATTCCTGTGAGTCTCAACATCTTTCTGAAGTGTTCTCATTTCATGAAAAAAATGCTTCTCTTTTGTAGGTACGGTGTGCTGCATGAAATTGAATTTGTCAGAATCTATGAAAAGGAATACTGAATTAAAGCAACTAACGTATGAAGATAACTTTCAGGACATTTTTAGAGGGGAGTCGTTCTAAAATTTTACTCTATATTCTGTTCATTTTATCCATTAATTTTATACCCTCATGTAGGTTGCTACAGCGTGTGCCCTCGCTACCTACAAGTTACAGCGTCCAGTCAGGATATACATGAATAGAAAGACCGATATGATAATGGCAGGCGGAAGGCATCCAATGAAAATAACTTATAGTGTAGGATTCAAAAGTAATGGGAAGATTACAGCCCTGAAACTTGATATACTAATCGATGCAGGGATATACCCAGATGTGAGTTTAGTTATGCCTGAACATATCGTTGGAACACTTAAAAAGTATGACTGGGGTGCTCTATCTTTTGATATAAAAGTATGCAAAACAAACCTTCCAAGTAGGTCGGCAATGAGAGCCCCTGGGGAGGTACAGGCATCATTTATAACTGAGGCTATTATTGAACATGTAGCATCCACCCTTTCCATTGATGTGGATTCTGTCAGAAATATTAATCTCCACACATACAACAGCCTTGACTTCTTTTACAAGAACAATGCAGGCGAACCTTTGGAATATACTTTACCTTCAATATGGGATAAGTTGGCCACCTCTTCAAGCTTCTACCGTAGGACTGAAATGATAAAAGAATTTAATAGGTCTAATAAATGGCGAAAAAGAGGAATTTCACGCGTGCCTACTGTGCATGAAGTGATTTTGAGACCAACCCCTGGGAAAGTATGCATTCTGAGAGATGGATCAATTGTTGTTGAAGTTGGAGGAGTTGAGCTGGGTCAGGGTCTCTGGACAAAAGTAAAACAGATGACTGCATATGGTCTTAGTTTGACCCAATGTGGTGGAACAGATGAACTTTTGGAGAAAGTAAGGGTCATTCAAGCTGATACCTTGAGTTTAATTCAAGGGGGTATGACTGCTGGTAGCACCACATCTGAGTCAAGCTGTGAAGCAGTTAGACTTTGCTGCAATGTCTTGGTTGAGAGACTTACTGCTCTCAAGGAAAGGCTGTTGAAACAAATGGGATCTATAGAATGGGAGACATTGATTATGCAGGTATATATCTGAACTTCAGAATATTCTGACTTCATTATTTTTCCACTTTGATCACTGGATGAGTTATATATAACATTAATGCAGGCATATATGAATTCTGTGAACTTATCAGCAAGTTCATTGTTTATACCTGGCATTTCTTCCAGAGCTTACCTAAACTATGGTGCAGCAGTTAGTGAGGTGAGTTTATCTCTTTCCCCTATTGCTTTGATTTGTTGCTTGTCTTTAAATAAACTCACTCTTTGTTTAACTCCATTATAATTTTCCCATTGAACATGATATACAAAAAATCATGCATCTATCTTGACATTGCAGGTGGAAATAAACCTTCTAACAGGGGGAACCACAATTTTGCAGACAGATCTTATATATGACTGTGGCCAAAGCTTAAATCCAGCTGTGGATTTAGGACAGGTTATAGCCTGAATACAATCCTTTACATTTCAATTTTAAAAATTCTCTTTAGCCTTAGCTTATTTTATATTTTTCCCAGAGTCTTTCTATGTCAGGCATTGCTTAATTTCCCCTTTTCCGAGCTTGTTCCACTTTTTTACACGCATTAAGTTGGTTCATCATGACTGATAATTTATGTTTTTGCAGATTGAAGGAGCCTATGTTCAAGGAATAGGGTTCTTTATGCTTGAAGAGTACCCCACGAACTCAAATGGATTAGTGATTTCAAAGGGTACATGGACTTATAAGATCCCTACAGTGGACACCATTCCCAAACAATTTAATGTAGAAATACTCAACAGTGGACATCATCAAAATCGTGTACTTTCTTCCAAAGGCAAGTTTAAATTTTCAATGAAATCCAAGTCATTTTCTTCATAAAATTGGTAGACATTTTATTTAAATATAGTAATTCATATATTCATATTTATTTGTTTTATGTATAATAAATATAAAATACGAAAATCATTATGTTATAATTTGTATTCATATCTCAAATACAAAATATAATTTTTTTTAAATTTTATTAAACTCATAATTTTTATTAAAATTTTATATCATATCACTTTTATATATTTTAAAATTGCTGAGAACAGAGGCAGGGTGCTGTGCGGGCCTTGCCCCCCCAACTACCCAAACGTAAACAAATTGTTTTTGAGATATCTTATCTTAGCATCAAATCAGGGAAATTTAAGATTTTGGTAAGATATTTGGTTATCATTGATAAACACACGTAATGTATTAATTAATTGTAATTAATTATATTATTATTGCAATATCTTTTTGGTTCCCTCGACCATGCTTGATGGCAACTCTATACTAATGTATATGTCCCTTTGCAGCTTCCGGTGAGCCGCCATTAACTCTAGCAGTTTCAGTTCACTGTGCTACAATGGCAGCGATAAGAGAAGCCAGGCAACAACTTCTTTCATGGAGTGGGCAAAAGGAGTCAGATTCAACATTCCAGTACTTGGAGGTACCTGCCACCATGCCTGTTGTGAAAGAGCTGTGCGGGCTTGATAGTGTTCACAAGTTCTTGCAATGGACAACGGGAAAAAATTAGTTGAAGCAAATTCTGCTGGCTGGTTTAAAAATTTTATTCCTGTTTTCACATATAAAAATATAAAATTATAATTAAATAAAGTTTAAAGTTGAAACAACACATGTGAAATTAGATATGATAATTTGTATTATTATATTATATAAAATATTATATTTATGTTATATTTTACGCGAAAATTATGTTTTATAATTCGTATCGACATAAAAATATAAAATATAATTTTTTATTTTATTAAAATTTTTTATAATTTTTTAAATTTTTGAATCATATTATTTTTTATTTATATAAATTTTATATTATATTATTATATCATATTTTAAATTATTAAATTTATATAAAAGTTCAGTGCTATATCATACATTCTTATAGATATGGTTCAAAGTTACAGAAGGGAGCAAACAATCATTGTGCCTAATAATGAAAATTTTTTAATTGAAATATCCCTTGGTTGATTTCTTTCTTTCATTTTTTTTGGATAATTGGCATTCTGTAATATTTATGATTTTTTATAAAGCAGAAAATGAGAAATGTTACAATATGATCAGAGCCTTTGTTTCTTTAACAAATGTGTTTGAACTATAAAAAAAATTAAGAACAAATATGTCACTATACTCTATCTCAATATCCAATTTCGTAACTCTAATTTGATTGATTTTTGTATTTAAATTTAGATGGTGGATGATTTTAAAACAAAAATTGAGAAAAGAAAATATTCTTTCTGTTGAGGAGGATTTTTCGGACGAAAGGAGAGAGCAAAAGCTGTTTATCTGGAGCTGCAGGTGGGATGGGGTCACCGTTGACATGATTTGCCAAAAAGTGTTGGATTTCGGACGATTGAGTTTAGATTTGAAATTTATCGTATTATCAATTAAATTTAAATATTAATTTTAATAAAATTAATTTAATATAAATTTTTTATTAAAATTTTTTAATTATAATTATAATAATATTTTAATAATAATAATAATAATTATTAATTTTAATTTCATCAAAATTAATTTTATCATTTATTTAAATTAAATCTAAGATACAAACAATTTATGCCTCCCTTTACTGAGTTCTTACTTAACCCACAATTAATTTTAAGTGATGGATAATAAAATTAATTTCCATGAAATTAAAAAAATAATAATAAATGTTATATCTATAATTAAAAATATATATATTATGATTTTGATTGAAAAAAATTTTAATAAAAAATTTATATTAAATAAAATTTATTAAAATTAATAATTAAATTTAATTAATAATATAATAAATTCAATTACGTTATACCAACAAAATGCGATAAAATGCAAAGATAACCTTGGCACCAAGACAACGAAATCCAACGCTTGTGGCAACTCATGTTAATAGGCATTTGGCTTATGTAAAGTCTCCGCTTCACAGCACACCATATTTAATGCGATACATGAAAATTTTCCCTTTTTTATACTCCTCTTTGCAGTCTACTCATTTTTTATTTTAATTTTATTTCAGTCAAACATTTAGTGGCACGTGTTTGTTACTGTTTTCGCTTGACTTTTCAAGCCATCAACCGACAGTGGAAAACACCAGGGTGAAATGCATATATAAATATAAATATAATAATAATAATTAAGGAAGGATTAGACTTTTTCCTCTTGTTTGTGAGTATTTGACATCATTGGTGACGCTATTTGGAGGGAGTGTGTTAGACATGATCATTTTAAGTCGACAAAACAAAGAAAAAGTAGAGTTTCTCCCAAGTTTCAGTTTCACCCACCTTTGACGACAAAATGGGAGAAGGGGTGACAGAAACAAGAAAAGAGATGAGCAGCCTGGTTTTTGCTGTTAATGGACAGAGGTTTGAGCTCTCCAACGTTGACCCTTCTACAACTTTGCTCGAGTTCTTGCGTTCTCAGACTCCTTTCAAAAGTGTTAAGCTCAGCTGTGGTGAAGGTCTCTCTCTCTCTCTCCTTTTCCTGTTGTGTGTGTTCTGGTTTCAAGGTTTTGTTGACTTAAATCGATAAGGAATACATATGTTGAGTTTCATATTAAATTAGTAAACCTCATGGGCGATGATTTTTTTTATTTCATATACTTTTATGGATGTGAAATTTCAGAACTTATTTTAAGATTTTAAGAAAGAGTTTTTTTTTTTTTTTTTTCCAAAAGACATTGAAATCTGAAATTTAAAAAAAAAAAATTCATGTGTTATGAGATTTAAATTTTAAATTTATTTTTTTATTGATTAGATGATTTTTTTTTTCTTCTAGCCATAAATTTTAAAACTTTTAATGATCATTATTTTTCATCTTTGTTCTTTACTTAATTTGATGCATGATCTGATTTTTTGTCTTTGTTTTGTTCGCCATTTAATTATGCAAGATCAGCGATGGGGTATGTTTTAAGCATCGACCATTTTTTTCTTTATGGGAAATCGTGCTAGTGTTTATTAAATATAATAAATATAAAATGATAGATAATAATATTTTAATAATAAATCTAATAATTCAAATAAAACAATAATTATTCAACCATGACAAAATCAAGTACTATTAAACATATGATTAAAATAGTTAAATTAACAAGCTGCGTATAATAATTATATTATTGTTTGATTTATATTTTAGTATATCATTATTGTGCTAAATATGTCATTTTAAGTGGTAAAGATTTAAAAATAAAATTTTCAATGATTTAAATACTTTTTGATCTGACCTACTAGTTACCAACTAGAAGAACATTTAAAGCTAATCATCATCATAAATCATCATTATCATTAATTTATTGTTAGTTACGATCGTTGTTATAACCATAATTATCATTAATTTATTGTTAGTTACGATCACTGTTATAACCCGTAACATTAGTCGTATCGATAATTTTATCCTTATAATAATTGCTAACTATTATAACTAGCTAATCAAGACCTCATACTAACTACTATAACTCATTAGCTAGGGTCATATGATTATGGCTATACTAACTACTATAACCCATTAGCTAGGGTCGTAAAATTAGTTTTGGTAACGATGATCCCACTTCTTAGAGATTTAAATTCGTAGCTATCATAAAACCATTTTTAAACATAAATGAATTTCTCATTTCATTTATAAGTATGATCCATTATTTATATAGTAAAACGCAAAACAATCATATGCTCGACGCTATTTTCATTTATCGAATATAAAGAAATAAACTTTCATTTATTTAGAAACATACATATATATATATATAAATTCAAAAACAAACAAAGTGTGTGAGATTCTATTTATTTCATTTCAAATCCACCACTTAGGTTTTTTTCTCAAAATAATTAATTGCTTATTTAAAATTATTTCAATATATCAGAAATTAATCAACCATTTTTTAAGCCATTTATATAAAAAATAACTAAGTTATACAAGAGTTAACTCAACAACTAATAGTGACAGCTTGAGCTACTTTCATTAAAATGACCATATCTCAAGATATACAACTCGAAATTAAGATTTATTTAGTGTGTTAGAAACTAGACTTGATAAACTTTCTAACCATAAATGGTCCACCTTGTAATTTCTTGTAAATTAATTATAATATGTCATGTGCAGCTGTTAGCCAGTATATATACCTTTTAGTAAAAATTAAATATTTATTCTTAAAAGACTTGGAATTCAATTTTGCTTATTTCATTGGAAAGAAGACTTAATAACCTTTCTAAACATATATGGCTCAATTTGTAATTCATTGTATAAAAATTAAAAGATTTTTTGTAATTTTTCTCTAATACTACTACCAAGTAGCCTACATATTCTTAAGTAAAAATTAGACAATTTTTCATAAAAAAACTCAAAATTGACTTCCGTTTATTTAATTGGAAAATAGATTCTATGAGCTTTCCAATGGTATATAATAATCATAGTAATACTTTATCCTTTAATATAGAATTTTATTTTAATCTATTGTTGTAAATAATAGCATTTCATCCCAAAACATGTTTTCTCTTGCAATCTTTAATAACTCAAATCCCACATTCAACCTTTAAAATTCACTTAATAATCATCATTAAATCTTAATAACATGAAAAAAATAAAACCTAATAGTTTACTCAAATAAATCACGAATATTAATGAGAGATTTCATAATTTTTCTTGATTTTTCTCTCATAAACGTCAACTCCAAATAATAATAATCAACATAATATTTTTTTTAAATAAAAAAAAGGCATATACTCATATTTAGGAGATTAACCTAATTGTAACCTTTGATTTTGGATCATCAACTTGATTTTTCATACTCTTTAACTTTAAAAAAGATGAGGAAAAAGAGTTTTCATTTTCTTTTCTGTTTTACGATAAACAAAAGTGGCTAGGTTTTCTTTCATACAATATCTTAGCCTCTTTTTTATGGCAATTAATCTCTTAAATAAACTAATGGGTTTTGGTAATAATCTGCCCAATTATCATTTAGTTTGGGATATCATTTGTGAAGACCCATATCTAACCTACAAGGTATTGTTTGTTTTGACCAAAGGTGTTATGGTTTTGTCCCACAAAAGGTGTCTCTCAAGTTTATGATTAAGTCTTAACTTATATATCATAACAGATTCTCAAAATATCTCAATATAAGATTAGGGTATCATAAACTCCTCTTGTTAAAACTTGATGTCCCTATCAAACCCAACACAAAACACATATAGAATCACAGAACCATAAAGCCAAGATCACATCAAACATTGAGATTTTAAAGGTGGCTCCCACCATATAGCACTTAGCTCCCAGAGGATTTTAAAAATGGTTCTCATGGTGTAACACTTTGTTCTCATTCAATTAGTAACCGTTCTGATGTCATTTGTAGAGATTTGCACCTAATTTATGAGGTATTATCTACTTTGATTTGAAGATCTCACAATTTTTTTCACAAAAGGCACATCAAAGGTTTGGGTTTAGATATATATATATATATATATATATATCACATCATATCTTCACATTTTTTTCAATGTGGGATTGAGGGCATCACAATCTCTTTTGTTAAAGCTTAACGTCCTATCAAGCGTAATAAAGCACATATAAATTCATAGAATTAGGATCACACCAAACGTTGGGATTCTAGAAGTAGCTCCCATCGTGTAGCACTTAATTCTCTCGAGATTCTAGAGGTGACTCTTACAGTGTAGCATTTAGCTCCCATCCGACTGGTAATCGCTCTAATACCATTTGTGGAGAGCCGCACTCAATTTGTAAGGTATTGTTTACTTTGATCTAAAAATATTACGGTTTTATCACACAAAAGGCCCCTCACAAATTTGAGATTAAATCTCAACTTATATATCATAGTAGATTTTCAAAATATCCTAATGTAGGTTTAGGATATCACAAACTCTTTTCGTTAAAGCTTGATGTCCCATCAAGCTCAACACAAAGCATACACAAAATCACATAATCATATACATAGAACCAAGATCACATCAAATGTTAGGATTCCAGAGGTGGCTCTCACCACATAACACTAAGCTCTCATAAGATTCTAGAGGTAGCTTTTATGGGATAAAATTATAAGACTTTCGAGTCAAAGCGAACAATACCTCATAGGTTGGATGTGATTTTTCATAAATGATATCAGAGCAATTATCAATCGAACGAAAATTAAGTGCTACATCGTGAGAGCTACTTCTAAAATCTTACGAAAGCTAAGTGCTACACGATGAGAGCCATCTCTGGAATTCTAACGTTTGGTGTGATCTTGGTTCTATGGTTCTATGTGTATAATTATGTGATTTTATATATACTTTATGTTGGGCTTGATAAGGACGTCAAGCTTTAACAGGAGAGTTTGTGATACCTCAATTTCACATCAATATGTTCTAAGAATCTGCTATGATATATAGGTTAAGAGTTAATGTCAAACTTGTGAGGTATCTTTTGTGGAATAAAATTATGAGAGTTTTTAGTTAAAGCAAACAATACCTCACAAATTAAGTACGAATCTCTATAATAATGACCCAAGTTGAACTTGAGCCTAAAAAATTTTGTTCAAAGTTCGGCTAGGGCTAAACCTAACCCATTGAGTTGCCAGATAATCCTGCTCTTAGGAAAGGTTTAGTTTTGGCCAAATTAATTCCTTTACCTATCAAATTATTTTAAATGGAGATTTTCGCATAGTTTTGATGTGGTCTATGACTTGTAATCTAGACAACCCATTTTGTTCGAGAATTTTTTTGAAATTGAAATGGACCTTTTACCGTAAATTGGGTCTTAATCAAAAAGCTTTAAGCTTAAGAATTAAAAGCTCAAAAATTTTAATTTTAGTTTTAATTTGAGTCTTAATGTTGATTTTGGTTTTTAATTTTAGTTTTTATTATTTCTAGTAAAAAAAAAAGGTCAAAAGTAAAAAAAAAAAGTCAAAGGCCAAAAAAAAAGGAAAAGGAAAAATAAAAAACGGGGATTATGGATTCATTTTAGGATTCGATCAAATTAAATCACACAAATAAAATTACAAAATTAATTCACATCAAAATAGAATCAAATCGGAAAAAAAATTCGATTGCATTGATTTAGTTTCCAAATTGAAAGGGATTCAATTCTCTATTAAGGATACACATGAACAACAAGCACATTGGGGAATCAACTGGACAGAAATCGTAAGGAGGAGGGAATCAAGCAACAAAACAAAAGCGATTAGCAATTAAAGTTGTTTAAAAATTTTTGGGAATTGAGTTCATAATTTTGATTCTAGGTTCTAATTGGTTTCTGGGTTTTGAGTTTTGTTTGAAATTTTTGAGATTGTTTTGATTTTGGTTTTTAATTGTAGATTTTGGTTTTTTTGGGATTTGGGAATTTTAGATTTTTGCTGTGAAATTTTTGGGAACTTATTTGCATTTTTAGGTTTTTTTTTGTTGGAATTTATCAATGAGTTTGAATTTTCTGGTGTAGCACATGGAGGTTGGAAGGGTTTCGCGATGATCGATATCTTGGTTCATCCAATTTTATAAAAATTTTGAATTTTTCAGCTATCCGTTGAAGTTTCTGGTGCTGGAATTTGGAATTTAGCTGGCCGATTGAATTTTTTGTTGGCTATTTTAGAGAGAGGGGAGAGGAATTAAAATTTAGAGAGAGAAGTAGTAGGGAAAAATCTAAGAAAAATTGAAGTTTTCTAACTTTTATATCAAATCCAATATGACGCTATTTTGACGAAAGGTTGACTCATATGTGACCTGCATGCGACTTGCACACCTCCTTGCCTAGAATCCAATACGGTCGCAAGGTGTCACTTTTTTTTCTTTTTTATTTTTCTTTTTTTTGTTTTATTTTTTCATTTTTTTACATATAGTTATATTTTGTTTTATTTATTTATTTTAATTGTGAATGAGTTAATTAGGATAAAAAAATTTTGACATTAATTATAATATATATTTTTGCATGATTATTAATTGCATGATAGTTTATATTAATTGTATGATATATTATATTATTGCATGATATTATTTTTCACGATAATTTTTGTTTATTTTAAATTTTTTTTTCTTTTTCAAATTTAAAAAAAGGGTTTTCAAAAAAATAAATATCTAGTCCTATCTAACTATTGGAGGATTTAAATCTTAAATTAAATCGTATCAAACTATTAGAGGACTTAATAAATTTTCTTGAAACAAATAAATTTTCAATCCTACCAATATATTGAGAGATAATTTTTAACAGAAAATTTTATCAATATATTGGAAGATATTTATGAAAATGAATTATTTTTTATAAAAAGAGATTATGAATCTCCAATGATGAAATTATTAAAAGCGTTGTAAATAGTAATCTCTATATAAATTCTTAGATGAGAAAATCTTTTTTAAATTTCACTAACATATTGAAGAATTGAGATAAGAATTTTTAATAGCAAAGTTCTAAATCTTATTTTTAAAAGAATTAAATAAATCTGACGACAGAGTCTCTTCAAAGTAGGACACTAGTCTTCATGAATATTAAAAAATTATCTTACACTATGTTTGGATTGAAGGGAGGTGAAGGAAAGCAAAGGAAAATAAAGGAAAGTAATGAAAACAAAAAAAAATTTTCCTTTGTTTGAATAAACTTTTAATTTAAAAGAAAGAAAAGAGGTAGAAACTTAATAACTTTTGATTTCCCCTCTAATTCTCATTTTTTTAATACCCTAATTTAAGTGAAAAGCTAAGAAAAAGAAAATTGAAAAAAATTTATTTTTATAAAAAGTCTATTATGTCAATATTTTTATTATGATATTAGATTTGATTATATAATTGATACTTCCTACAAAAATAAAATTTTTTATGAGTATTTTATATAATATCACAATTTATAAATATTTTATGATTTTTTAAGTCTTGACAACAAAACAAGCTTAATTATTGTAAGAATAAATCAGCTAATACATCTTACTGTTTTATACATGCTCAATTTTATTTAAAAAAATTTATTTATACAAACTAGATAGTATAAAGATATATTTGTATATTATATATTATTTTATAAAAAAAAATGTTATAATTGAAAAAAATATTATAATAAATTATTTCTTTTCCTTTTCACTATTTATCTAAATAATGAGTGTTAAAATTCATTTCCTTTCATTTTTTTTATTAATTTTAATTATCCAAACAAATGGTACATGTACCACTTTCTTTCTTTTAAAAAACTTTTATTTCCTTTCATTTTATTTCTTTTCCTTTCTTTTATTTATATGTATCCAAACATAGCGTTAAATTACTATCAAACCATTGAAGTAATTTTAGAATAAATTTTCAATAATTAAATTATTTAATAAAATTATAAAAATATTTTAAGGTTTGAATAACTTGAAATCAAATTGGTATCATCCTTTGGGTAGATGTTGTGATGGTGTTATAATATTTCTCATGCGTAACCGTATTCCTGAATTTAATATGATTTTGTATATTAGAATTTACCTTTCTAAAGATACCCGAATCAAGTTTGGTATTTATCTTTAAAATGGGACAGATTCAATTAGATAATCAATCACATCTAAACAAAAAATATTAATGACAACTTCTTAAATTTATATTTGGCGATAAGTTCACGAATCTATATGACATAAAAAAAAAAGAGAAAGAAGAGATTTCATATAGGAAAACGGCAAAAGGCTTCACTTTCTTAGGAAGCTAAGAAAAAGCTTCTCTAATACCATGCTAAACATTTTCTTCATGGTAGATAATATACGATTACAGTAGTTGACTATCACAAAAATATTAAAAGAAAATTATGCTCCTAGTGCCTGGGTTGGTTCAGAAATAAGATAGAGTAAGGATCCATTTCAGAAATAAGAGAGTAAGGATCCATTTAAATTTTCGTTTAACATCATGCGGTTGGAATACAAAAAGCAAATAGCAAAAAAAAAAAAAAGAAAAAAAAAATATCACAAAACTTTCAACCAAACAAATATTTTGTTAATAAATTTTAAAAAATCTCCTTGTTCTTAGTCAATATAGTAGTAGAATAATAGTGTTTATCTTTTGAGTTCATACTTTAAAATTTTTAATTTCATAAGTGGTATTAAGAAATTAACATTTATCTTATTTTTATTTTTTATTTTTTAAATATATTCTTATATGTGTCTTTCTTTTAAGCATTGTGGAATCTAAAAATTTAACTATTAGTATATTTGATAATTATTTTTTTATATGGAAGAGAGGAAATTGGAACGTAGCTTTTTTAGGTATGGGTACATGCACCAAAGCCAAGTGCTTGGTTGCGTATTTGAGGTATGGATTAACTTTGCAGTTTTATCAAACAGATGGAATAGGAGAAGTCAGTTTCACGTATATTATCTGTTACCTTAATGTTTACTGTGTTTGTGTCGGTGAGCTACAAGAGGAATGATATTGAATTGTTGTTTTCCCTGTTTAACAGGAGGCTGTGGCGCCTGTGTTGTCCTACTGTCCAAGTATGACCCAGTGCTTGACCAGGTTGAGGATTTTACTGTGAGTTCGTGCCTCACACTTCTTTGCAGTGTTAATGGATGTTCAATCACAACAGCTGAGGGAGTTGGAAACAGCAAGGGTGGTTTCCACCCTATTCAGGAAAGGTTCGCTGGTTTCCATGCTAGTCAATGTGGCTTTTGTACCCCTGGAATGTGTGTTTCTTTCTTTTCAGCTCTTGTCAATGCTGATAAGACCAACAGACCAGAACCCCGTCCTGGATTCTCCAAGCTGACAGTTTCTGAAGCCGAAAAGGCCATTGCAGGAAATCTTTGTCGCTGTACTGGTTACCGCCCTATTGCTGATGCTTGTAAAAGTTTTGCAGCTGATGTTGATATGGAGGACTTGGGGCTTAATTCTTTTTGGAAAAAGGGAGAAAGTGATGAAGTAAAGCTGAGTAGATTACCTTCGTACAATAATTGTACTGCAAATTCTAAGTTCCCTGAGTTTCTCAAGATGGAAATCAGGGCAGGTGCCGGTCTGGTTTCAGAAGGACATCGTTGGTATGGTCCTACTAGTGTTGAGCAACTTCAAAGCTTATTAGAAATGGATGAGGACAATGGTGGAACCTCAATGAAGATTGTTGTTGGTAACACAGGAACGGGATATTACAAGGAATTACGATGCTATGAAAGATACATTGATTTGAAATATATTCCTGAGCTCTCAATCATTAGGAAAGACCAAACAGGGATTGAAATTGGAGCAGCTGTGACAATTTCTAGAGCTATCAAAGCACTGAGGGAAGAAAATGAATATGAATTTCACCGAGGGCAAATGGTGTTCAAAAGAATTGCTGACCATATGGAAAAGATTGCTACAGCTTTCGTAAGGAATTCAGGTAGTGTAGGAGGGAATTTGATAATGGCCCAGAGGAAACAATTCCCATCAGATATTGCTACCATACTACTTTCTGTGGGTACATTGGTGAATATAATGACTGGTCAGAAACTTGAAAAGCTTACATTGGAGGAGTTCCTGGAGATGCCCCCTTTGCATTCCAAAAGTGTTCTTTTAAGTATTAAAATCCCTTGCTGGGAGTCTAGGAATAAGGATACTTCTTCTGAAACTGACACTAAGTTGCTATTTGAAACTTATCGGGCTTCACCTCGTCCTCTGGGAAATGCACTTCCCTATTTGAATGCAGCTTTTTTGGCTGAGATTTCTCTTTGTAGTAATTCTACTGGATTCATGCTAAATAACTGTCAGCTGGCTTTTGGTGCTTATGGGACCAAACACTCAATTAAAGCAACAAAAGTTGAGGAATTCTTAACTGGAAAAGTGCTAAGCGTAGGCGTTTTGTATGATGCTATTAAATTTCTTGGGACTACTATAACACCGGAAGATGGCATCTCGAGTCCTGCTTACAGATCAAGCTTAGTTGTTGGCTTTCTTTTCGAGTTCCTAAGCCCCTTAATTGACACCCCTGCAGAAATTTCAAATGGCTGGCTCACCGGATACAATTGTGCCAAGTGGTTCATTGATTCCAAATTGAAACAGAATAATGGTCAGTTTGATGAAATCAAACTCCCAACATTGTTGTCATCGGCAAAGCAAGTGATTCAATCAAGTAAAGAATACCATCCGGTTGGAGAGGCAATTCCAAAAACAGGAGCTGCCATTCAAGCTTCTGGTCAGTCATATCCTACAGAAAATTCTATTACTTCACCATCACAGTTCACACAAAAATTTTAAGTTATTGATCGTTATCTGTGTTTCATAGTTTCATGAATCAATAATTAATTGGTTGGGAACACGAAGACTTGGTGCTAAGATCATCTCTTTCTCAACATATCTGTGCACCCTAGAATAGCTGCTAGTGCTAGTATAACACTAAAGCAAGTGCCTTTAGGGGACTCTGCCTGAAAAACTAGACTATTTGAGATAAGACCATTTTATTAATTTTTTTTTCTTATGGATTAATTGTTAAATTTAAACATGGACGCATCTGTAATTAAGATTAATTGTTCCCCTTAAACTTGCATGCAATAGATTATTAAATGGAAAAACATTTAACCCTTGCTTTGGATGTCATCAGTAAATATATATTTATCACTTTATTCTCAATGGAATCAATGCTGATTCAGCTAATTATGTAGGTGAGGCTGTTTATGTGGACGATATTCCATCTCCAAGTAATTGCCTCCATGGAGCATTTATTTATAGCACAGAGCCACTAGCACGGCTAAAGGGCATAAAATTTAATCCTGGATGGTCACCAGATGGAGTCGCTGCACTTATTACTGTCAAAGACATTCCTGGGGAGAATGTAGGTTGCGTGACCGTATTTGGTAATGAACCTTTATATGCAGATGAGGTTGCTCAGTGTGCTGGAGATCGCATTGCCTTTGTGGTAATTCCATGGTTTCATTGTCTGCCTTTTCTTTTGTTTGCAGTAATTGTTATTAATATTGACATAGTACAATGCTAAAAAAGTGTCCATTAGTATTTTGAGAACTTGATTATGGAAATGACTCTTTCAGGTTGCGGATACACAAAAACATGCAGACTTGGCCGCAAACCTTGCAGTTATTGATTATGACAAAGAGAATCTAGAACCACCAATATTATCTGTAGAAGAAGCTGTTGAAAGATGCAGCTTTTTGGAGGTTCCTTCTTTGCTCTGCCCCGAACAGGTTGGTGATTTCTCAAAAGGAATGGCTGAAGCTGATCATCAGATTCTCTCTGCTAAGGTAATTTCCATGCTTTCAAGAGCCGTTTACTATATTTCATCATGGATTGCTAATGTATCTTTTGAATTGTTACATCTAGCTCAAACTCGGGTCACAATACTATTTTTATATGGAGACACAAACAGCCCTTGCTGTGCCAGATGAAGACAACTGCATTGTAGTGTACACTTCTAATCAAAGTCCTGAGTTCACACATGATACAATAGCTAAATGCCTTGGCATTCCCGGACATAATGTTCGAGTGATTATGAGAAGGGTTGGTGGAGGCTTTGGTGGCAAGGCCATAAAATCAATTCCTGTGAGTCTCAAAATCTTTCTGCAGTGTTCTCAGTTCATGAAAAAATATGCTTCTCTTTTGCACTTAGGGTGTGCTGCATGAAATTGAATTTGTCAGAAGCTATGGAAAGGAATATTGAATTAAAGCAACTAATGTATGAAGATAACTTTCAGGACATTTTTAGAGGGGAATTGTTTTGTTTAGTGTGCTAAAATTTTACTCTGTTCTGTTCATTGTATCAATTAATTATATCCGTTCATGTAGGTTGCTACAGCATGCGCCCTCGCTGCCTACAAGTTACAGCGTCCAGTCAGGATATACATGAATAGAAAGACTGATATGATAATGGCAGGAGGAAGACATCCAATGAAAATAACTTATAGTGTAGGATTCAAAAGTAATGGGAAGATTACAGCCCTGAAACTCGATATACTAATTGATGCAGGGGTATACCCAGATGTGAGTATAATCATGCCTAAAGCTATGGTTGGGACACTTAAAAAGTATGACTGGGGTGCTCTATCCTTTGATATAAAACTATGCAAAACAAACCTTCCAAGTAGGTCGGCAATGAGAGCCCCTGGGGAGGTACAGGCATCATTTATAACTGAAGCTATTATTGAACATGTAGCATCCACCCTTTCCATTGATGTGGATTCTGTCAGAAATATTAATCTCCACACATACAACAGCCTTGAATTCTTTTACAAGAGTAATGCAGGTGAACCGTTTGAATACACTTTACCATCAATATGGGATAAGTTGGCCACTTCTTCAAGCTTCTACAATCGGACTGAAATGATAAAGGAATTTAATAGGTCTAATAAATGGCGCAAAAGAGGAATTTCACGTGTGCCTACTGTGCATGAAGTGGTCGTGAGTCCAAACCCTGGGAAAGTAAGCATTCTAAGAGATGGATCAATTGTTGTTGAAGTTGGAGGAGTTGAGCTAGGTCAGGGTCTCTGGACAAAAGTAAAACAGATGACTGCATATGGTCTTAGTTTGATCCAATGTGGTGGAACAGATGAACTTGTGGAGAAAGTAAGAGTCATACAAGCTGATACTTTGAGTTTAATTCAAGGGGGTATGACTTCTGGCAGCACCACATCTGAGTCAAGCTGTGAAGCAGTTAGACTTTGCTGCAATGTCTTGGTTGAGAGACTTACTGCTCTCAGGGAAAGGCTGTTGAAACAAATGGGATCTATAGAATGGGAGACATTGATTATGCAGGTATATATCTGAACTTCAGAATATTCTGACTTCATTATTTTTCTCCTTTGATCACTGGATGAGTTATATATAACATTAATGCAGGCATATATGAATTCTGTGAACTTATCAGCAAGTTCATTGTTTATACCTGGCATTTCTTCCAGAGCTTACCTAAACTATGGTGCAGCAGTTAGTGAGGTGAGTTTATCTCTTTCCCCTATTGCTTTGATTTGTTGCTTGTCTTAAAATCAACCCACTCTTTGTTTAACTCCATTATAATTTTCCCACTGAACATGATATACAACAAATCATGCTTCTATCTTGACATTGCAGGTGGAAATAAACCTTCTAACAGGGGAAACCACAATTTTGCAGACAGATCTTATATATGACTGTGGCCAAAGCCTAAATCCAGCTGTGGATTTAGGACAGGTTATAGCCTGAATACAATCCTTTTGCTTTTCATTTTTAAAAATTCTCTTTAGCCTTGGCTTATTTTATATTTATCCCAGAGTCTTTCCATGTCAGGCATTGTTTAATTTCCCTTTTTCCAAGCTTGTTCCACTTTTTTACACGCATTAAGTTGGTTCATCACGACTAATAATTTATTTTTTTGCAGATTGAAGGAGCCTATGTTCAAGGAATAGGGTTCTTTATGCTTGAAGAGTACCCCACAAACTCAGATGGATTAGTGATTTCAAAGGGGACATGGACTTATAAGATCCCTACAGTGGACACCATTCCCAGACAATTTAATGTAGAAATCCTCAACAGTGGACATCATCAAAATCGTGTACTTTCTTCCAAAGGTAAGTTTAAAATTTCAATGAAATTCTTGTCATTTTTTTGGTAAAATTAGTAAACATTTTACTTAAATAGGTAATTTGTGAATTAATATTTATTTATTTCATATATAATAAATATATCATATAAAATTCATTATATCATAATTTGTGTTTATATATCAAATATAAAATATATATTTTAATTTTTAATAAATTTATTTATAACTTTATTAAAATTTTAAATATATTTTAGAGTTGCCCGCACTAATTCTACTTACAGCCGTAGGCATGGACAGGGTCAGGAAGCAGGGGGTGCTGTGGGGGCCTCGTCCCCCAACTACCCAAACCTAAGCAAATTGTTTTTGAGATATCTTATCTTAGCATCAAATATGGGTAATTTAAGATTTTGATAAGATATTTGGTTATCATTGATAAACACACAAAATTTATTAGTTAATTGTAATTAATTATATTATTCTTACAGTATCTTTTTGGTTCCCTCGACCCAGCTTGAGGAAACCCTATACTAATATATATGTCCCTTTGCAGCTTCCGGAGAGCCGCCACTAACTCTAGCAGTTTCAGTTCACTGTGCTACAATGGCAGCTATAAGAGAAGCCAGGCTACAACTTGCTTCATGGAGTGGACAAAAGGAGTCAGATTCAACATTCCAGTACTTGAAGGTACCTGCCACCATGCCTGTTGTGAAAGAGCTGTGCGGGCTTGATAGCGTTCACAAGTTCTTGCAATGGACAATGGGAAAAAATTAGTTGAGCAAATTCTGCTGTCTGGTTTAAAAATTTTATTACTGTTTTCACAGATAAAAATATAAAATTATACTTAAATAAAGTTCAAAGTTGAAACAACACATGTGAAAGTACATTGCTATATTATACATTGTGATAGAGATGGTTTGAAGTTAGAGAAGAGAGTAAACAATCATTGTGCCTAATAATGAAAAGTTTTTAAATGAAATATCCCTTGGTTGATTTCTTTTTTTTTTTTTTTGGATAATTGGCATTTTGTAATCTTTATGATTTTTTATAAAGCAGAAAATGAGAAATTTTAAATATGATCAGAGCCCTCTTTTTTCTTTAATAAATGTATTTGAACTATAAAAAAAATTAAGAACAAATTTGTCACTATATCTCAATATCCAATCTTGTAACTCTAATTTGATTGATTTTTTTCATTAAAATTTTGTTTTGGATGATTTTAAAACCAAATTTAACAAAAAGAAAATATTCCTTCTGTTGAGAAAGATTTTTGGGATGACAGAAGTGGGCGAAAGCTGCTGATCTGGAGGTGAGATGGGGTGACCGTTGACTTCAGTTGCCAAAAGTGTTGGAATTGTGTCGATTGAGATACAGGCGGTCAACGCCTCCCTTTGCTGGGTTTTAATCTAACCCGCAACTAATCTTAGCCTAAAGACAATGAAATAAAACCATATATATATATATATAATTATTTGGGATATTTGATAGTCAAAAGAGTACACTAATTTTTTTTCTTATTAGAAGCCTTCAGTGGATAGTCAAAGATAATTTCAATATTTGTGTCAATATAACATATTCAATATTACATCAATTTGATCATATTTTTATTGTTTCCTGATGATCTCCTATCCCTTACCTTTAAATATGAATGTCTAAGTATCATTAAGGCAAGTTCAATTTACTTCTAATTCTTTTTATTATTCTCTTTCTAATCTCATTCATTTTCACTTACGTATTGGAATATAAACACAGAGAATATTCTCTATCTTTGACTCTAACCATTCTTCTGTTATACTTTTTCATGAACACCCTTAGGTCGGCGCTCGGCACAAGCATTTGACGCTCAAGGTAGAAGGCCTTTTCTACTCACTAGCCAAGCATGAAACAATGACACCTAGGAAAAGAATTTTGAAGGAATGAGAGACGACTATCTTGGCTGGGACGAAAACACATAATAGTCAACATTCAGACTAACTTGCCACACCACAAACATATCAACCATGGAACAATTCCAGGCTTTGATCGAGCAGATATAGGCCTTAAAATAAATGTTGCAAACCATAACCTCACCATAAGTTTCGAAAGTGCATAACCTAATCACCCTTAGTCGAGTAGCCCCAGTAAAACAACCAAGTTATGAAAAAATGGAAGCCTCTTAGCTTCTAGAGAAGAGGAGCACAATACCTTAATTCATCATTACCCTATTCATAACTCGACACATACTATGACTCAAAAATTCAAACAAACAAATCTCAAACCCCAACCAAACAAGAACTTTGAAGCTCGAATGCAAGCCATAAAGAAAGAGCTGAAAACAAAGGCAATGGCATTTGAAGACAAGCTTAAATTTTTATAGAGTTCACCTTTTATTAAAGAAATTGACAGAACCATGCTTCTCAAAGGGTTCAAAATGCCAACCTTAGAAACTTACAATGATATCATTTGAAACTTTATAAGACTAATATGATGATGCAAGATACAGATGAAGCTTTGATGTATAATGGCCTTGCTACCCTTCTAAAGGGAGTAGCTCGATCTTGGTACAGTAGCTTGGAACTGAGATCAATTACAATGCTCAAAGAACCAAACCACTCTTTTCTATCCTGTTCGTAAGTAGTTGAAAAATGAAAAAGATAACTTTAAGTTTGATGTCGATCCACCAAAGTCACAATGAATCTTTGAAAAGCTATGTCATACGTTTTAATGAGTAAGTTCTGTAGGTAAAAGGCTTAGAGCCCTAATGAGTGAAGTCAATGATAGAGAGTACCACCTGAAGTTTACCTTGTCACTAAAGCCACCTAAAATTGTGACCAACGTTTTACTCGTAGTTGAAAAATATATAAATACCAAAGCTACAATGAGAAACAACCGAAGTGAAAAAGGCTCATCTTTCCTGCTCAATGACTGAGGTGAGATAAGTTCATTCCCTTTTCTCGATCATAAAAAAGGTAAGGATTTCTACTACTCTTCCCAAAAAAGGATATGACATATGGCTAGAAGTTTCAGTAGAGAAAGAAACTACACTACACTAAATACCTCTCAAGAAGGGATTTTGATGCAAATTGAAAGAAATCTCAAGTTCAGATGGTTGAAACCACTGAGACAAAACACAATAAGGGATTCGATTAAAAAATGTGCCTGTCATAGGGACACAGGCTATAATACTAAAGGCTGTGTTGACCTAAAAAATAAAATTGAAGCTTTGATTAGGAGAGGCCAATTAAAGAGGTTTATAGAGTAATAAAGACAAGGTCAACCCATAACAGATTACAGACAAGATCGAAGAAAGCCTACTCGAAGTAGGGACAGAACGCTAAAAAATGAAAAAAGAAAAACTCAAGAAGATGAGTTGAAATGAGAAGAAGGTCGAACTGATAACAACAGGCCAATCGTTAAAGTAATTAATGTGATTACAAGAGGCAACTCAATATCAGCTAAAAGAAGGCTTTAGGCATGATCATGGTCATGGACACCTTAATAAAGAAAGAAAAAGTATGAAAAGATGAATCGATCTCTTTTAGTCCAAAAAATTTGGAAGAAATCTAATACGCATATAATGATGCCATAGTAATCATAGCTATAGTATATAATTATGTAGTTAAGAGAATCTTATTCGATAATGGGAGCTCGATTGACGTCATGTATTATGGCACCATGAAGAAAATGAGAATCAGTGAAAATTGGTTGCAATCGATCACATGACACTAGTAAGATTTGGGAATGAACAGTTACAAATGAAAAGAACTATCAAGCTACCTATTTTTTTTTTAAGGACAGAACTTATGACTATCACCTCAATCATAGAATTTATGGTTGTGAATGTCTCATTTGCCTATAATATGATATTAAGCTGACCTAACTAATTTGTTATGTGACTCATAGGCTAAGCTCATCATCTAAAAGTAAAATTTTCAACTCCTAGGGGGGTTAGAGAGGTTAAGGGAGATCAGTCCACAGCATGACAATGTTATATCACAATAATAAAAAAGAAGATTGAAGAGCTGACTGATAGTTCGACCGAAACAAAGAGCTTTAAGGAAGGGCAAACAATAAAAATTGAGAAAAAATAATAAATTATAAACAAAAATATACATCATAAAATCGACCTGACGGAAGCGCGCTTTTAAATCGTTTTGAACTTTTAAGCTCCAACAAAAAGATACCTTTTGTTCCATTTTTAAAATTTTTGAACTCTAAAGATGACTGAGCTCTTAAGTCGACGTAAACAATTACATATCATTTAGATCAAGCTAATACATCAGCCAAAATATAGTTTGAAATTAAAATACATACCAACTCAACCATACATTTTAGCAAGTTACCAATAAAATACTAATCATAAAGTCAAGATTTATCTTCATGGGTAATGATCTCGAAACCAAACAAAAAGAGATAATTGGCCAAAGACTGGACTTAAATGAAAATTGACATGAATCAGTTGAGAAACTTGTAACTATACCATTTTAGGATAACGTTCCTAAAAAACATGTAGATCAAAACTAAACTACAATACAAGGATCAATTAATACAATTTCTAAGAAATAATGCCAACTTGTTCGCCTGGCACCATTCGATATGCCCAACATTGATACCGAGGTAAAGGTCCATAGGTTGCATACTAATCCTAAGGTAAAACTAGTTCAGCAAAAAATGAGAACCTTTACACCAAAAAGACAAAGGGCTATTGAAGAAGAGATCGACAGAGTACTACAAGTAGACTTTATCAGGAAGGTTTATTACCTCAAATAAATAGCCAATATGGTTAAGGTAAAAAAGCATAATGAAAAATGAAACATGTGTGTTAACTTTATCGACCTGAATAAAGCATGCCCAAAAGATAATTTTTCCTTCCTTAGCATAAATCGATTAGTGGATAATAGTGCTAAGCATGACCTTCTCAGTTTTATGAATACTTATTTTGGTTACAACTAAATCAAAACGCTAAAAGATGATTAAAAAAATAGCTTTTATTACCAAAAAATGCCTTTACTATTACAAGGTGATGCCTTTCAAATTGAAAAATGCAGAGGTAATATCAAAGGCTTGTCAACAAGGTCTTTAAAAATTAGTCGATCGCAATATAGAAGTACATATAAAACACATGATAGTTAAAAGTAAAAGCTTGATTAAGCACTTGGAAGACCTCAAAAAGACCTTTAACATATTAAAAAATAATAACATGAGGGTTAACCCGAGTAAATGTGCTTTCGGGGTCATGTCAAATAAGTTCTTCAATTACATGATTAACAAAAAAAGAATAGTGACAAACTCAAAAAAGGTTCACATAATTCTAAATATCAAAGCACTGACCTTAATAAAAAAGATACAAAAGTTAATTGGAAGAATAGCCACCCTAAGTGGATTCATGTCTAGGTCGGTAAAATGATGTATGCAATTTTTTAAAATTTTTTAAAATATTTTTTACTTCAGATGGACCTCTCAGTACCAAAAGCTTTTGAAGAACTTAAAAATTTTTTATCCTCTCCACTTATCTAGTTCAAGCCAAGATTTGGTGAAATCTTATACTTATATGTGGCCAGCACAGACCAAGTCATCAGCTCGATCCTAATCTAAGAAAAAAAAAAAGATCGATTTTATTTTGTGAGTAAGGTACTAACAAGGTCAAAAATTAACTTTAGTGGTATAAAAAATTAGCATATGTGGTTATCACTTTAGCGAAAAAATTCCACATTTCCAAGCTCATGTGACCCACATATTGACTAATCAATCACTGAGATAGGTTTTACAAAAATTTAAAAAGTTAGGAAGGTTAATTAGGTGGGCAATAAAGCTTAGTGAATTCTATCTGCACATACTAACCAAGTCAGCCTTGAAATCTCAAGTGCTAAAAAGATAACTCCGAGGAAAATGAGGAAACCTGAACCAAAAAAGCTAGAAATTTTTGTTGATAGATCGACCACAAACCACAATGAAGGAGCTGGCCTCATTTTAATTAGCCCTGAAAGACTACAATATCTATATGCCTTAAGATTTA